CATAGCACGTGTCACTGCACACGCCTGAAACACTGCCGGATTGTTCTTTTCATTCTCATCAGGTGTATTACTAACCAAAGGCACTGATGTAAGTATTGGCTCCTCAGATTGATTCGGCCAAACCTTTGCCCCAGCCACACCATTTCCCAAGATTACTGTAACCCCATCAACAGGTAAAGCAGAACGCACCCCCATCAACACCTCGCCATCAAACAAGTCAGAATGCAACATCATTCTATGCAATGGAACATGAAAAACAGACATACCCATGCCCAGTACTGGTATAGATAATCCTGAGTCAGTCTCTTCAGAAAAAGGTAAAACGGATGAGAGAATAAATGAATCATATGCTCCTGTATCACGTAATATTGTAACAGGAATATTAGCTTTACTCCCCACTAATGACACAGACCCTTTTGTCAGAAATGGTGTGTATGAACTCAAATCTAGTTTCTCAGTAATAGAAAGATCAATACCTGAGGTATTTGAAGCTTTCAAATTGGGAGCCGGTGCAGCAAATGCGGCTGGTTTCACCCGTGAGTCAGTTTTCTTTTTAGATTTCAACACCCAACAAGCCTTCTTCCAATGACCCTTCCTATGACAGAAAGACAGAAATTCAGGAACTGGAAAATGGGAGAAAAGACTCATGTAGAGTTTGCACGAGACTTGTCTACACATTTCAGCCGTTGGTGTGCTGCGTCTGATGTAAGAACTTTTGAGGATCTATGTAGTCTAATGATTCTTGAACAGTTTAAGTGCTCTGTTTCAGAGAATGTTGCACTGTACATTAATGAGCAGAAAGTAACATCTGTATCAAAGGCTGCAGTTTTGGCTGATGATTTTGTTTTGACTCATAAGGTTAGTGCAGACTTGTACGCTGTTGGTGCCACACAAGATTTGTCTGTTACTAAAAAGCCTGTAGTTTTCAGTCGACGGTCTGTTAGTTCTTATTCTGATCTTGGAGGTAGTGGTGGTGCACGTGAGTTGGAAGACACATGTAATTTCTGTCATAGGAAGGGTCATTGGAAGAAGGATTGTTGGGTGTTGAAATCTAAAAAGAAAACTGACTCACGGGTGAAACCAGCCGCATKTGCTGCACCGGCTCCCAATTTGAAAGCTTCAAATACCTCAGGTATTGATCTTTCTATTACTGAGAAAGAGACCAGGGCCTGGGGTCGTAACACTGCCAAAAACAAACGCACGCTGCGCGACACAAATGCTCCGAGACAATCATTATGATTTGGGATGACTCCAGGTTGGCACCTCTGCATTTAGCTTTTAGCTGCTGTTTTAGCTGATCCTTTCTGTAGCTTCAGCTGATTTTCTGTCTCAGTTTCGGCTGCTCTCGGTCTGGACTAAATGTGGTTTCTCTGGTTAATAAATGATTAAGGATGGAAGTGTTTTCTCTCAGGACATGAACAAGCTGAAGACGAGCAGCGACGAGGAGGAGGAGGAGGAGCAGGAGTCCAGTGAGGAGGAGGAGATGGAGGTGCAGACGAAGGCCTCCAGGTCGAAGGGCAAATCTCCGGCCAACGGTTCGGCGGTGAGGAAGAAGCGAGCGTACGTGGAGATCGAGTACGAACACGAGACAGAGCCCGCCTCCAAGAGCAGGACCACGTAGAGAAGCCCCGCCCACAGCTGTCAATCACAACCGGACTGATGACCTCGCTCCCATTAGAGTTTATCTAAAAGTTTAAAAACCTTCAAACGTCGTTTTGTTTCTGCAGCTCCTGTTTCTGTGAACATTAAGCTGCAGTTAAACATAAAAACAGACCAGAACCAGAACCAGGTCCAAACCAGACCTGAGCACCAGGACTCACTTCAAACATGTTTTACAAATAAATGATTTGATTCCAGTTTAACCATCAGGAAATATGAGCCGAATATTTCAAGTTGGGATTAGAAGAACCGGTCGATGAGGTGAGTTTATGTAAAAAACACCAGTGTGAATGTTTCCTGCTGAAAACTTCAGCTGAAAACATTTAATCGTGTTAATGTGAGCTCACGTTGAAAAGATGAAAGAAGCAACAAAGCCGAACTTTGCAGAAAAACAGTAAAAACAAATCTGGTCTAAACTAGAAAACAGCTAAGAGCTAAAATAGCTGAATGTAGCTGAAAACATCTGTAAGAAGCATAAAAAGCACTAGGTAGCAGAAAAAAGAACAAAGCAGCTCTGCAGCTAAAGTAGCATGAAATAGCTAAAATTAGCATAAAATAGGCTAAAGGTAGCAGGCACAAACTGAAATCAGCACTCAGTTGAAATTAGTTGAAAAACCGCTGAAACAGAAAAAAATCATAAAATTACATTAAAGTGATCATTTGTAGTAATAGCTAAAACAGCTGAAATTTTTCGTAAAACAGCTAAAAAGTTTCTGTAAATGGTTTTAATTAGCAGAAGGAAGCAAAAAAAAAGCACAAGTTTGCTGACCTCAGTCAAAAACATTTGTAATGGCAGCAAAAAAATTAACCTTAGAAAAGCTAACGTTAGCTAATAGCAGCTAAACATTAGCCAAAATTTCAGCAAATAGCTGAATGTAGCAGAAAGCATCTGTAAGAAGCACAAATAACACAAAGTAGCAGCAAAAAAGTAGAATAAAAACAGCAGAAAGAAGCAGATCTGCAGCTAAAGTAGCATGAAATAGCTAAAATTAGCATAAAATAAGCTAAAGGTAGCTGCTGAAAATTCAAATTAGCAATTATTAGTTGAAAAACAGCTAAACCAGAAAAAAATAACATTACATTAAAGTGATCATTTGTAGGAAAATGTTTAAAAAAGCTGAAATTTTTCGTAAAACAGTTAAAAACTTGCTGTAAATGTTTTAATTAGCATAAGAAGCACAAGTTTGCTGAACTCAGTCGAATAAATCTAATGGCAACAAAAAACGTATTAAAAGAAAAGCTAACGTTAGCTAATAGCAGCTAAACAGCCAAAATTTCAGCAAATAGTTGAATGTAGCAGAAAGCATTTGTAAGAAGCATAAATGGCAAAGTAGAAATGAGCAGAATTTTAGCTGATATGGCAGAAAAAAGCTAAAATTAAGACAACGTGAAAAAGCAGAACAAACTAAGGTGCTGTAAAGATTTAGAAACATTTTAAAGGAGGTTGAAAACGGCTCCATTCATCTTTAATGGCAAAAAAAAAGAAATAGCTAAAGAAGTATAAACAGCTGAAATGCCAAAAGTCATAGCAGCCGTCACATGAATGAGCTGAACGTTTTATGAATTGTTGAAACAGCAGAAAAATTGTGGAACGAGTTAGATGCTGAAAAACGTGCAGAAGACAAAATGACCAATAGTGAATAATTGTGAAGAGTCATACAGTTGATGACAGGAAGTCAGTAAACAACAACAACGAGCCAAACAAAATGATGTCATTTAGATCCAGCTGTTCCATTATTAACAAACATCCTGCAGGATCAGTTTCTAGTTTTATAACTTTATTTACAAATAAAGTGCCCCCCTGTGGGACAGTGGAAAGTTACAGCTGAAGAAAATCAAAAGTTTATTTTATAAATATTCATAAACAAATCATGAGAAGCTGGTTGGATGTTTCTGCAGACACAAACAGAGGAGATAAAAATGTACAGAGCATCAATTTACAGGCAGCGAGCCACGGAGGGAAACCTGTTTCCTGTTTTCCCGCGGCTCCTCGGAGCTCCGCCCCTCTGCTGCCCCCTGCTGGCAGGATTAGTGTAACGGTTCTGGACATGCTAACTTTGGTGAGCAAAGCTTTAAGGCGACAGCTAACACAACTTAAAGGTTTTATTCAGTTTAGTTCAACCTTTTTTAACTCTTTGGTTCAGAGTTCTTTAAAGTGACAGAAATAAACTGAGAAAAACTCAGGTTTAGTTTAGTCTTGATTTATAAATCAGGTTAAACAGAGTTAATCAGGACCTGGTTTTTACTGGACGTGGACTCTGTGGGACCACGAGTCTGAGGTCAGAAACCAGGTTTGTGTGAGTTCAGGACAGAAAAACTCATCAACAAATAAAACTTATTGTAGAAAAACAACTTTTACAATTTGTTTTTTTAACTAGTTTCAATGGTTCCTGTCAAAACTAGTAAATAAATAAATTATGTTTGATGTGTTGGTAAATAAATCTGTTTTAGGTTTTTAGTGTCAGTTTGGTGTTTTTAACCACAAATAAGAACATTTATTAAGTGCCGTTTATATTTTTATACATTTTCTGTTTTCATGACTAAAGCTTCACCGTTTGGTTTAAGTCTGGTTAAATTATTTATTTTTATTAATCTGATGAGTGTCTGTCCTGTCCTCAGCACTGAGCAGCAGCAGCCTCTGGGGGGCGCTGTGCTCCACACTGAGCAGCAGCAGCAGCCTCTGGGGGGCGCTGTGCTCCACACTGAGCAGCAGC